GGTACTTTTTTTATCATCATTTTCAAATTTAACTATTGTATTTGATGAATTAGTTGTAGTACTAGCCGGTGGAATGTTTATAGGTAAATTTATTGTTGATGGAGATGCTAATAATGGCTAAAGATATAAAAAAAATAAAATATGTCTGTTTTGATCACACATCATGGTATGATCACTATCTTATCTTCTACCTTTTTTCAGTTTTGTGAGTTTTATTACGAAGTTCTAATATATCAAAATATGCTGAACAATTCAGATCAGAAATATTATCTCGTCTGTTTAACAGGCAAGCTCACGTGACTTTACTACAAAAACAATATATCTGTTTAGTTTCTTTCAGGTGATGCGTGAGTGGGAAATTCAGTTATGTAATACTCTGATAATTTCTTTTAACTTACATAAGTTGATTGTTTTCTTTTTGATTTGTGTTTTATTAATTTCTGTCAGTATTGGTAAAATATGTATTCGTTGTTGTTGTTGTTTAGTTGTATTATTAATTAATTCAAAACATAAATGTTGTAAACCAAATTTATTCATAGCAAATCCGATATTTGTTTTATTATTATCAAATGATAAATGTGTTTGTATATGATTTGGTAAACGAAATTGTAATCGACAATGTTGTGATTGTATAGCATGAGTATTAATATTTTCAATGGAAGAAAAATCATTTTCAAATCGACGAAATTGTCCTGTTATTGATTGAATTTTAAAAATACCAGCTGTTGAGTGATCATGATTAGATAAAATTGTTTCCATTTATTATTGAACGATGATCAATTTGATCTTGTTGAATATTTGGTGGAAATGTAGCCATATTGGACCATGTTGAAGAAAGATAATGAGATAAATCATGAATAAGTTGTACATAAAAGAATCGATTTTAATATAAGCATTTTCATTTGATTACTTAAACTCTTCCATGAAGAACTAGGAAGAGATGGTAGTGGTACAATATTATATTCCATGTTTGGTGAAGTTCCCTAAAAGATAGAAAAATTTATATTATATCTCATCTTTAAACAGGTCATTTAATTCTTATTATTCGAAAAATCTGAATATACTTTTTTTATGTATTTAACTATGTATAATATGAATCGAAGAAATCGAGATATTTCATTTTCGAAAGGCTTAAAATCGAAATCAATCAGTCTGGTTTGTTTTCTATATGAAATAAGTTAGTTAGTATATAAAATAGTAGAAAAAATAATCGATGCCGATTTTTATAGTTACAATTATCTCACTAAACAAAATAAATCTAATATCTCAGAACAAAAAAAACTGATTGATTTTTCTTTCAAATGATATACATACTTTTTGAGGTAGAAATGGTCAACTATTTCTTGTTTGTTGTCTTTGAAGTATTTCTCCTAAAGCTGTTAATGAATCAATTGATGAATTTGGTGATAGATTTTGTTTATTACCAATTGATGTTAAAAATATATTTAAATCTGAATGTATTGGTGATGATTGTTGTTGCATCATAGTTAATGATGATATTAATAATGATTCCATAATATTATTTGTATTATTATTTAAAGTTGAATTTAAACTTGTTTGACTTGCACTTGTTAACGATAAATGTTCATTAAATGCTAAATAATCATCACTTCCTAAAGTTTGAGGTGATGGTGATGAAACGATATTTATATTATTTAATAGTATTGATGATGATGATGATGAACGTTTATGTTCATTTCATTCAATAACTGATTTATGTTGTAAATTTCTTAATAAATTAGCATGTGATAATAAATATAAATCGGTAGATACACTACGTCGTAATAGATTATCATTTATATTTTGATATTGTTCATTAGATTGTTTTTGTTGTCCACAAAAATCAAATAGATAAAAAGTTTCTTCATCATCTAATTCATCATGCAATCGTTTAATATGTTCAAATATAAAATGTGAATGTAAAACATGTAACTCCGGATGAAATAATGAACGAATAAATAATGATTGTTCACTAAGACGAAATGTACTTTTAAAAAATTGTTCACCTTGTACAAGTGTATAATAATTTGTTGAACCACCAAGACATGCACATGATAATATATTAGAATTTGTTGCTAAACCAACATAAGATGGACGTTTTAAATTTGTTAATATTGTTGGAATATTTAATGTTTGTTGAGATTTACGATTATAAAGAAAATGTAGTCGTTGGGAATGTTGATCATGCCGACGAAGAAATTCTAATTGTTCATTAATAATAGCTGGATGACATTTAAATTTTGCATTAACACGTAATTCAGGAACACTTATTGAACCAGTTTCTAACCATGAACCAGGATAAAGACGTAATAATTGTCGAATATGTATTGTACCAACTTTTAAAGTTAAATTTTCATTACATAATGATGTATGCATATTACACATACATAAACGAATAGGTGCTGTCTAAAACAAGAAAATTATAAAAGACGAAAAAATATATAGAATATTTCTTACTTGAATATTAATAGCATTTCCAACTTCAATGAGATTAAGATCAATTGAATCCAAACTAAATCTAAGTACATCATATTTAAGTTTTTCAATCCATTTTGTTTTATCAATATATGGTGAACGAGCAAGAGTATATATTCATCTCCCATTATTTGCGAATAAAATTTTTTAACAAAACCTAAGGTTTTTTTCTAACGAAAAACAATAGAATGATATTGTTTATAAAAAAAAAGATTTTTTTGTTTTTGATATCTTACTTGAATTGTTGTTAAACGAGCTAAGATTTTACCAAGTATAATTTCCATTTGCCAAGCATATTCAAGTACTTCACGTTCAGGTGGTAAACCTTCACGTGAAAGCATTGCATGACCACAAATAACTACACCAGATAATTGAAGGCATCCAGTAGATAGATGTCGATCTGTTTTATTTCTTTAAATAAAAAAGAAAAGAATTGTATTACAAATAGAAAATTGTTAGACTTATTCAAAGATCAAGATGCAAATTAAAATTATAATCGACAAGTATGATACTAGTTTTCGTCTGATTATACAAGAATTTAGTTAATTGAATAGAATAAAAAAGAAATAGCTTAACATGTTAAAATTCGATAATCTCACTTAAATGACTTAATCTTTAAACTATTGTAAAATTTTTGTCAATAACTCAGCAAATTTGAAAAACTTACCATGATGAGATAATCATAACTATTTTTCTCAAATGATCTTATTCAAAACTTCTTAAAACGAAAGCATTACTAACTACTAGCCAATGAAGCTATTTAGTGATCTGACATATATCAATAAATAAGCTGGTTTGATCGATTCAGACGAAAGTTACATTTCTGTTTTGTAGCATGCAACGAATCTTTAAAAATTCCAATCAATTTTTAAATATACTTACAACAATCGAATCTTCGACATGAACATTAATTGGTAGAAAAAATACTTGTAATCTTGTTTCATCAAGATCAGTTGTCATTTCAAAGCAAAGTCGTTCACAAAAAGTTATTGGACATGGTTCATCATCCGTATGCTAAAACAAAAGATTTTATTAAAAGAATAAAATAATTCTTTTCATTTACGATTTTAATGTTAGATGAAACGGAATGTTTGGATGAATCTAATGGAAAATAAATAAATGAACATATTTTCATAAAATAAGTCAAATTATTAAATACATTAATAATTTGTTTTGAATGAATGTCCAGACTTTTACAAATGCAAAACTTTTCTAATTGACCATTAACTAATTAAAAAATAAAAATCTCTACCTTATTCTATTAGATTTGTTAAATTGAAGATTCGTGTTAAATATTGATGTATTTTATTGAACATTAAAATGTTTGTTAATAAAACTTGAAATTGTTTTTTTTCAAACACCATCTAATAATAAATGTTGAATTTAATAATAAATTATAATTTATTTCAATCAACTAAATTATTAAATAAAGAAATTTAGAGTTTTCATTTCGAGTTATATAATTATTATAAAGATCTGTTTGAGAATGATAAAGTCTTCCGCCAATTTGTTTTCTTTGAAAAATCAAACCGAATTTCCCATAAACATTTGTATTTTCTTATAAATCTTATTTTTTGAGAATATATTTTGATGATTATATATATTTAATTTCAATTTGTTCTTCTTCTTCTTCTTCTTCTTCTTCTTGAGTATTATAAATTTTTGGAAGTTGGTAAAAAACATTTTCATTACAAATTTGATTAATAAAATGCATAATTATTGATTCCACTGTAATCATTTTGTGAATATAAAGGACAATTAATTAATATTACAAATAATAAATATTCTAATAAAATTATTTTATTAATGAATTCATTTTTATCATTTTAAATAAAACAACTAACTGAAAAGTTATCAAATGTAATTTCATGTTGTTTAATAGATGAACAATTTCTGTTGTCATTTGAATTTGTATTCATTTGTAATTTTCCCATATCAATTAAAATATTTTTATTTGAATATGAATTCATAAGAATAAGTATGCGTGGAGTATTTAATATAAAATCCATTTAACATTCAATTGAATGTTCATCATATTGTTGTAAAATCGATGAAAGAAAAGTTGCTTCATTACAAGATGTATCTTTATCTTTTTGTTGTTGTTGATTTGTTTGAAATAAATTAATTAATGATGGTATAAGTTGAAAATATTTACAAAGAAAAAAAAATTTTATTTTTGAATTTGACCTTGAATAAATGAATATTGTTCTTCAGTTTTCCTCTCATAATTAAATGAAGATAAATCAAATATAATTAAATTATTTGGTTTATTTTCTTCCAAAAAATAATATATTGATAACGAGATTTTATATAAAAATCAATAAGATCGTGAGGGTGAGTGAATGAGTAGGATAGATATGATACACCCTTCTATTGAACCGTTTGATTCAATTACTTCAAATAAGATATATAAAAATTCTTCTGTATAATACGTTAAATCTAATAATGCATATAATAAAACAAAATATCAATCTAAAAGAAATAAATTAATATAAAATTTGACTTTGAAAACAATAAAATTGAATTTAAGTTATGTTATTTGTTGTCTAGATCAATTGTAATATCAATTTGTTTTTCAATATTTTGCTTTTCTTCTTGAAGAATTTTTTGAATAGGTATCACTTTTTTAATTGGTTCATATTGTTCTTTTGTATTTGTTTAATGTTTTTAATCATTTAATTTTGATTTCTATTAGTTTAAAAAAATAACATAGAATAAAATAAAAAAAAGAACAAACTTGATTTTGTTTTTGTTGTTTTTTAATCAAATATTTTTGGATATAGAATTGTTTTCATTAATTTTAATAGACCAAATAAATGTGTATCAAACATTCGACATTGAATCGGTGAAATATTTCCATTTGCTTTTCAACTTAAAATAAATAAATAATAATAATAATTTCTTATTTTCTTTTCCACACTAAAAACAAGGATCTCATAATATTCCGAAGAATCTGGATATATGCTCAATTTCATAAACATTTATAGAGAAAAAGCTTCTTGGTTACTTTGAATATTAATATCTTACTTCTAAGTATGAAACAGAACAAATGTGAATTGTCTTACTTTTTACTCAAACTTAAATACACGACTCCAGTCATACTATACAGTAATCGATATATTTGTCATCTAATTCTCCATTTTAGCAAGGCCACACTTTGATCAGGATATATACGCCTTTATTTTGTCTTACAATACGAAAAAGGTAAATGCACATTGTTTTATTGTTTCTTTAATTTCAGATACAACAGTTCTATCGTATTATACATTAAATACATATATATTTCAATGCATTCACCAGTTTAGCAATCACATGCCTTGATCACAATACACTTTTGTTTTACCTTGAAATACGAAAAAGATGGATGCATATTTTTTTCGTCCATACTGGATAAACGATTCCGGCCATATTTTTAAATAGTTGGATACATATCTTATTACGTCGATGTTTATATTATGCGTAGAAACAAACTTTTACTGTTGCTCAACACGTAATTAGATTAAAAATAAAGAAAATTGAGAGTGTGGGTAGACGTTGATGTACAACCTCCTCGCAACATGACTCATCCTCAAATATGTCGATATCCTTATGAATTATTTGTATTATCATGTTTTTTCTTTATTTCTGTCTATATTTTTAAGTCAATTGATGGATTTTGTACAAAATTATCTTATTGTATATATAAAACAAATGAACTAATATCACTATATGTTCTCTATGAATTTTTCTAAACAAACATTTCTTATATATTGAAAATATATTTGTCAATTGATTATTAACAATCTGTTGGAACATACACTTCTTAGACTATCCAATATTTCTAATTCTAAAACCATTCTTTGGAGATATTTTTACTATCTTCAATGCTAGTTCATTTGTATCAGATTTATGAATAATACTTATTATTTTTCAACTTATCTGCAGTAATAAACAGAATAATAAAACGATTGATTTTATATATCTGATCTATTTTTTATTGATTAAATCTACTAGTATTCGTTGGTGATATGCATTGTCTCATTCGAAGAATCAACCAGTATCGTCACAAACTTTTCTCTTCTTCAACAAAATACATTTAAGCTTATTTTTATTTGAATATCATTTGGTTTATTATTTTATTTTTGTAGAATTATCTACCATGTACATAATGAAAAATATCAACAGTTACTATTTACAGAAAGAAACTTTTGTTCAGCTTTTATTACTATATCTTTGCTTGATCAGTATTATAAATATAATATTGAATATTTATATTATAATGCTAAAGTTAAATTTACATCAATTTGGATACTTATTTTCGAATCGATTATTGGTATTTATATTTACATATTTATTGCAAAATATATTAATAAGAATTGTATTTTACTTCTAAGTAGTAATGAAACATATCATATTATGTGTCTAGATTTTATTCAAAATATTATAACAATTATAATATTTGCCGATAGATAGTTTGGAGTTTTGGAAAGCCAATGCAAGTTATGAACACAATTCAGAAATGAATTGAACTCTTTTCATTAGTTGGAACACATTAACTTGAACTTTCTTCAACTATCTACATTTGTCAATTATTACAAAAAACACTAAAGTAACTTCAAATGAATTGAAACTGTAAACTTACATGCCTTACTCATCTTTTGTACATTAGAATAAAAAATATGTAATATGAAGAATTTTTTCTAATCACTATTTTTTTTCGGTGTTATTTAACAAGAAGAAAATCATTTTAACTTACTTATTTCTTTATTGTATGTTCTTCGCATCATACTTTTTTTGTTAATCTTCTATTTTTTATTTATTATATTCTTTTCATTAATTCAATTCTCATCTTAATAAAATCATAGTCAAATTTAACAGACTAATTCGTTTTTGATTTATAACACTTTAAATTTTCGTTAAAGTGTTAGTTGAAATCATTATTGTTTACTTTTAATCTAAGAAACTGTAGATCTTTGTCACAAAGATGATACTTTTGAAATAGTAGTCGCTTTGAGACTAACTGAGAAATAAAAGTCTACATATACGTCAAATAATTCACATCACAAAATGAATATTTATGAATTCAATTTGACCTATTTTATTGTCATGTGTACCTATGTGAGATATTACTATATTACTGCTCACGTATCGTGCCAGAATATTTTAACAATTATATCTATATATTTCTGATTTTCAAGATGCTCATTACTCTATTTTCGAATTGCTGTTATATTACTATTATGACATTATTGAGATATTCAGAAATGTGTCATTACAGTATGATGATGTTTCTTCAGTATCTATAACTGGTAGACAAAAAAACAAAAATAAGGAATTTAAATTAAATTATATATATAAACTTCCTGATGAAATACTATTAGTATCAAATTGTTACTAATCTCGGAAAAGTATGAACCATAATAATAGTAAAATACAGATTTATACCTTGTTGTTAATATATGACAAGCAAGGAGATTTATTCTGCGTACTTATTTAGATATAAAAAGCGATCAGTATGACTGGCAACCAATGGATTTAATAAGTGTTGATTAAAATTGAATGTGAAAGTATTTTTTTACTCACTTATACTATAATTCTCAGTCTTCTTATTTCTGTTGTCCTAATCTTGTATCTTTTGTGTTTCTAATTCAACTTCCGATCTTAACATTATCCATTTTCTCAAACAATTAAAGTCGATAATGAGATTGTAAGCACTATATCGAGTTTATTTGAAAGAGATCGACAGAAGAGAAGAACAAGGAGAAAAGAAAAGAAAAAAAAGAGAGAGAGAGAGAGAGAGAGAGAGAAAGCAAAAAAAATGATATATTTCATCAACGTATGGTTTATATATATATGTACAAGGTCATGTGATCATATCATATACAAATATATCGAAAAGGACTAGTAAAAAAATATCACACCATAATATAAAAGATGATAGAACAATCGAGGATGACCTCAATAATAGAGATCCTGTTTATTAGGAGGCTCGGAGACGGATTTACATTGAAAATTCTAGTGTTAAAAGTCTACAGTTAGATTCGATAGGATCCAATAGTAGAGTGCAATTGAATCTCCATATTGTAATATAGTAGCGATTAGATTGATATTAAATAAATGAGGAACAATTATGATTTTACTATTGAATCTATTAATAATCTTGTTTGTCGATTTCTTATAAGCTTCTATTAAATATTGGATCTTATCAGATATGGTGTAGGAGTGATTGACAAAAAGGTAATTAAGGTATCGATCATAATATATGGTAGAATGATGAATTTCTTTTTATTCTTTGCCCTATCCTGATGTTCTCGAGTTATAATAACAGAAAAATTGAAAAGAAATACTCACTGTTCAAGAAAAAGAAGTGTTCTTAGTTAGAGAAGTGACCAGTAGTAAACTTCTATTTGATACGAATTACTGAAAAAAATAAATCTACACTGTAATATTATCATGACAAAAATGATTATTAGAAAGAATATAGAAGAACAACTAGCTGACCATGAAGTTATTAATGTCGTAATCGTCGCATTTGTTATTATACTCAATGTTTTTTCTAGTTCGATCATCTTAAAACTGAATATTCCCTAGACGGAAAGGATAGGGTCTAGAAACGGGAATTATCTATTTACATGTATTATTTTTGTCGGTAACATGGCACAAGTGACCATTTTTTTGGTACAAATGACTATGTAACTATGGTATATTTTTGATAATATAATTTTATTTGCTATTATCGTTTTATTTGAATAGCATAATATTTATTATATAATATTTTATTCAATCGTATGAAAAGAGCGCTAATTTAAATATTTAAAATATTTCTTAATTATATATATATTTATATAATATTTTATATAATCGTATCAAAAGGGCGCGAACTTAAATATATGAAATATTTCTTAATTATATATAGATCATTATTTTATTCAATAAATTAAAATAGTGTGGCAAAGCCAATTTACTTTTAATACGAAGAAAGATGAAAATAATGTTAATAACAAAAAAACGAAACGTTCGTGTACAGAGT